TTTCTGCTCTCAAACTCATTTTCTTTCTCGACACTTAAAAGCAACTTTATTGTTATCTGAACCTCCTCCACCAGTGACAGTTACTCAGCTGAGATTTAGATTTACTTTTAAATGATTTTTTGAGGGTGGAGTTCAAAGACAGTTCATTCATTATTAGATTATTGTAGGTTTACGGGTCAAATATTATGTTATATTATATGTTTTGAGCAGCTAAACTTCTACATTTACTGTCTGAGGAGAATAAGTGAGTGAATATGAGAATATGAGGCAGTCTGTTTCATTGTTACATCTATGTTATTTTGTATTACTGACACATATTTTATAAAATAAGAGAGAAACAGCATTAACTGCGATACAGAATTAATGCTTTTGTTTTGCTGTAGAGGTGTGACAGGGGTCAGAGGTCACAGAGGAGGGGAGGTGGGTGACAGAGAGGGGAACCTGCTCAGGGTTCAAAGGCATTCAGGATCCAGGAAGAGGATAAAGAAAGAGGGCAGAGATGAAAAAGGAGACAACTGAGGGAGAAATTATACAGACAAGAAATAAAATGGCCTCGGGCACAGATAAAAAAATAACAAAGGGTCTCTGACGCCTGCGAGACGCGGACCTTCAACGAAACAACATTTAAAAAGAAAAAGAGTAAACATGCTGCACCCTGCACATAATTACATATTTATTTAAGATCTACAGAACAACGGGAAACATAAAACAGAGTGCCAGGAAACACAGAAAGAGGAAAGCCCTTCAATCAAATTAGCAGCTCCTCCTCCCTCCCCCCTTCCTCCCTGTCGGGGGGGAGGGAAACCTTTCAATTAGCTCCGGCTGCGCATATCGCACAACAAAAGACCCGTCCGAGGCCGTTAGCGTTAGTGAAGCAGGCAGGCGTCTCTTCGTAGTTAACATTGAAGAATTAGCTTCCAGCGATCAAACTACTCAGCCAACGGGAGCGGGAAGTGTGTGTGTGTGTGTGTGTGTGTGTGTGTGTGTGTGTAGGCAGCACAATGGAGTCGAGGGGTATTTGTCTATGTCCCCTGGGACAATCTAATAAAGTTGTTTACAAGCAGATGTTGAATAAAGACACACAATACGCTCCTCTTTACCCTCCCCACCCCACAGGCGAACCCATTCACTTCCTCCGCTCAGTGAGAGAAAGAAACGCTGCCCTATAGAGTTTACCATCTAGGGTGGATAATTGATTTCTTTTGCTGGATCAAAGAAGGTATACCAGCACCAGATAAAGACAGGGCAGGGAGATATTCTCTCTCTCTCTCTCTCTCTCTCTCTCTCTCTCTCTCTCTCTCTCTCTCTCTCTCTCTCTCTCTAACGTTGACATTGTTTCTCGACTTTTTAAGGTTTTTAAATATGTAACATATTTACAGACACATATCTGCGTCAGCGTTGTGGTTGTCTGCCAGAAGCTGTCATACATTGACTGTTGATCCAGTCTGAAGCCACATTGTTACCATCCACTGTTTAGATCTTGGTGCTTTTTAACTCTAGATTTGAACCGGATGAAGGATTTTAGTCATCGGACGTCTGGATCTTAAGTTATCAGAGAAACAAGCTGAGCTAACGTTAGCAGCAGCTCGGCTCGCAGCCCCTCCGGGACGTCCTTTGTCTGTCCAACAGCGTGGGAGAAGCAGTGATTGTTAAGGTGGAACTGCTGTATTCAGTGGTTTTAGCGGCTCTTCCCTGTATGAGCATCGAGAATCCATCGATGTTTACGAGTTCCCTACACCTTAGTTTTAGAGAAAATAAGCTCACTTTCGGACCTTTAAATGGTGGCACATACACCAATCAGCACTAACATTATGAGCACTGGACTCCCTGACTGGTCCCAGACCAGCAGACTGCTCTGCACTGTGTGTTCTGACCCCTTTCTATCAGATCCAGCATTAACTGTTTCAGCAGTTTGAGCTACAGTAGCTCGTCTGTTGGATCAGACCACACGGGCCAGCCTTCACTCCCTACACGCATCAATGAGCCTTGGCCGTCCATGACCCTGTCTCCAGTTCTTTTCCTTTCTTGGACCACTTTTACCTTAAGGGACCCTTTTCTAACTCTCTTTTGAGTAAACAGACGACCCCTGACTAAGTGCATCCATATTTTCTGGATATTTCATATTATATTCAGTACAGAACAACTGATAAACTGTACAAATAACCCAAGTTTGTGTAAACAGAGCATTATTTTTAGGAAACCTTTTATACAATTCTCTGTGTGTATTATGTTTATTTTATTTTTTAACAATAATCCAGACTTAAGGCTTCTTTTTTACCAATTCAGTGTTTTCTTCTCCCTGACTGAAAAAATTAAACATTTAAAATTCAAACAACAATTTTACTTTTTTTTTACAGAAATGCATGGCATACTGAGATTTAGACCTTCTGTCTTTACTTTTTAAGTTTTCATATACTCCTTAAAATCAAGAAGGCCTCATGATCCCCCCCGTGAAGCTTTGGCGACCACTAGTGGGGGTCTCGACCCTCAGCTTTAAGGGATGTTGTCTAAAATGGACACAAGTTTAAGTATATTCTCTACGCTTTCTATAAACATTATATTCTGTTAATAATGTTAATTTGTGCACCAATTATTATAAGAGCAGAAATTAAGTCATTTGAGACACAAATTATTGTTTTTTTCCCTCATTGGTACCTGCCAGGCTGTATATGATACATAGACAAAGAAGGAAAGGTGAAAGTTTACGGCACTGCATAGTTGGTATCTGAATATAGAATAACTTTAGAAGTGAATGGCCATCTGAAGTCCATTCTGAGCTCATTATAATATGAAATGTTAACAGGGTTGGGAAGGTTACTTTAGAAAATGCAATCCTATACAATTACTAATTATCTGTTAAAAAAATGCCAGTAACCTAATCCACAATATTAATGTAACGTAACTTGATTATTTCCTGTTACTTTTGAATCACCTCAACACCAAATAAAGAGATAAAGAAACATTAACAACCTCAGAATATAACCTGTAACAAAAATAGGGAAACTGTGTCTTTTTAACTCATTTTTACAGCTGGAAGGTTTTACTGTGATGGGGTTCTTTCCTTCTGCTTTAAAGACTAAATCATTTCCACAACATTTCCAACCAGTAAAAGCATTTTTTCTTTCAGAAGAGGTCATAATAACAAATTGGCAGCTGTATGATTAGCTGTAGTTTCACTCCAGTCCAGAGAGCTGTTGTGTTACCTCAGAATGAGCCTTTTAAATACAGCCAGTTGTTGGTTTGTCCGTTCTGGGCTACTTTAGACGGAAATCTGTTCATTTTCAGTAAAACTTAAAAGCTAACAAAGTGTCAGAGAAGGGCAGCGGCAGTGTGAGGCCGCCGGCATTCAATTTGGGAAATTTTGATTTATGCTGTATGATACAATTAGCCAGTACATTTTTAGATGTGGTTAGCAGTCCTCAGACACAAGAATCTGCACAACTGAATGAAATCAGCTTAAATGCGAATCACGTGATCATGAGAGTTTTTTGCCCTGCTCGCCTTGCCCCAGGGCCACAGGATTGGGATGTGAGTGGATGAGTCAGTCGGGGGATGTGTGCACAGACGTTTGTCAGATGTGAGGAGATAAATGTGTGAGAGAAGCAGAAGCAGGGTGTGTGTGTGTGCTGTGTGCGTTTCTTGAACAATTACGAAGAGAAGCTGAAGGCTGCGTTTGCACTTAAATAAAGAATCGTATGTATGTGTCGTATCAGCTCTGAGTTAACATCTGTTGTCTCATCTGCTCCGTCTAATTGTCTGATGTTCTGTTAGATGGGATGTTTTTTCTTTGACTGGAAAAAGAGCTTCTCACTAAAATATTGCTGTTTTTATCCACGTCTTCAAAAAACGGATCCATCCCACACATCGGGGAATAAAGCTAAACAGCAGTCACATTCACCTCATCTGTTGATAAGGTGAATGTGAAAGATAGCAGGGAAAAAAAATATCCTTTTTCAGAGATATTAAAAGGTTTTTTTGTTCTGAAAATGAAAAGCAGAAGAGTGAGCCGTATGCCCGATGAAGCATGAATGACCCAAGAAATCCACACAAGAGATCTTCAGTTTGAAGAAATTATCTGACAACATTTAACTCCATATTAGCAGATGCATTGTGCTCGCAGCTTTCCCGGTTTTTTTTGTGTTGACGTTGATTTCAAAGCTCTGTGTGCCAAAACTTTAAGTTGAAATGGATCCACTTTGCAACAGAGCCAGATTGATCTCACTTTGACAGCTCTAACAGCAGATATAGATAACCGTCTGCTGCAAGTGAAAAAGATAACGACTTGAGATTGAATCACTGCTCCGCAAGACACACTGCAATTTTAACAAGGCTGGATACTTTGTGTGTATCAAGTGGAAAAAGTTTGAAAATAACAATGCAGATGACAGGAAAATGATGTTGTTTGTTGCAGGGACGTTCTGCAGAGCACACGTTCCCCTGAGGTGGGAATATTTCAAATCCAGCTGTATTCTGCAGATAGTGCCGTCTGATAGGAAACAACAATGCTGGATGTGCTTTTATTGCCATTTGATCAAACACAGTGTGATTCTGCAGCATTATAAGAGCAACCTTGCTTCACATCTGTAAGAAAAGAGCAATGTGTGTTAACTTCTTATGAAGAAAGTTAGATTTTTGTTCAGTCAGAATGTGAATGAAGTCATTTATTTGGTCTTTATATGATTGTTATATCAGGCACTTACAGATCTTTGTTGCTGCTGTTGGTATCCTACACAGCGCTATGAAAAGCTCTGTGCCTTCCAGCAGGAGACTATTATAGGACTATTATATAAAATAAAATGGTTATGAGATACATTTGTTATATACTGCTGATTAAATTTGGATTATTACCTTTTCAGGATGTCTATAAGATGAGATATTGCAGTTCTTTGGGTGTACAGAGTATTATACCACAGTCACTGAGACTTTTTAACTGTGTGTGCATTATTTTACTGTAACCATCGACAGCTGTTCACCTGAATATATCCAAACTGATAACTTACGAACACACAAGTTTCCACTTTCATAGAAGCCGGGGCAGCACTGAGAGCGTCGCCTGTACATGGTCCTCACGCCTCGTCTGTACGCCGTCTTGTAGCTGATCCTGCACACGGGACACACACACACACCAGTGAAGTTTTACTATTGGTTATGTTAAATTAAATAACACAAGTTCACATTTTCACTTGAACTTAACGTTTATGCATCTTTTTTATATTATGTTTTATATTTTCCTTCAGGCCTTCTGTCCATTAAAATAGCCCAGCAACCAAGATTTCACATGTTACGTTAAGAGCGATGTCCTATAAAAACATACTAAAAATGTTCTCACATCACTACACTTCTTAAAGACGAGCGACACTTAAACGTTTAAGGGAGTTTCTCCCACTCGCTCAAGGACGCTGATGTTGTCTGACATTTCAGCTTAAGATCAATGACTCAGCTCTTAGCTGGAGGAGCTAAACTGGTGGCTATAAAGCTTAATGTGGTCATTAAAGCCGATACGCCGACGGTCGCTCATCAGAATGACCACATCAGACGGAGCTGAAGTGCTCGCTAGTGTTGGGTAGTCGACAGTAGTGACTGACCACCGCCGAGCTGTACAGTACGACGTGTACAGAGTGTGACAGACTGTGGAACTACCTGGGTTTGGGTAGTTTTATTAATACCAATACCATTATCGATTCTGCTTGTCAGATTCTTTATCGATTCCCTTATTGATCCCTGATAAATCTGTGCGGTAAAAAGTACGACTACACAGGTTTTCAGAATCAGTGCAACTATTTTATCTTCTGAGTCTGAAGACGGTGTACAAACAGAGTAGGGATGTCACAAGAACAGATACTTCGGTACCAAGTTGATGCCAACGTTCTGAAAATGTGACAGTACTCAGAGTGTAAACTATACCATCGGCTTTCAATGGAGTTCGCTTTTTCTACTGTCGTATTTTCTGGTATTTTCTGATATTTTTTGGATATTTTCTGATCTGAAGTTAATGATATTGGGCTGTGACACATGTTCAGTGGTGATGGCTACAATAGAAATATCCTCTTTAAAGTAAATCAGTGATGATCATACATCAATAGTAAGTGTACACGTAATTCAAAAATAGAAATGCATGCCAAAATAGCAAATAGAAGTCACTATAGGAAGTTGCGATCGCAACAATTAACGCAAATTCAACTGATCCCTGTCTTACTGGAACAAGTTGCCTTCAATTTGTAATGAATTATTTCACTTTCTCCTGTAATTTCATTACAAAGAAATGCCTGAAAACATCTCAACACGATCGCAATTTTCTCGAAATTTTACGTCTTTTGGACGGGCTGATATTGTCAGTATTTTAGAGACCAAAAATTTCACATTTTCACAGGAGCTCGTGTCTTATTAAGAGGAGCTGAGCTCTCCCTGGCTCCCCTGTAGTTCGCACCCTGATGGTACTCATTTCTCTCCATACAATAGGTACTGTAGGTACCAGGGATTCAATTCTTCCAGACCTGACAGGGAACCTCTTGTACAGTCTGTTACAATCACAGATACTGAAACAGAAAGACAGACGCTCGCTGGTGCAGATACAGGAGATATTTTAGAAGCTAAAGCAAATCAGATGTCATTTGTTACGACCTTGTTTTCGTCATTTGCGTCATTAACAACGAGTCCCCACACGCTACTGTTAATAAGACTGAATCACAGAGATCTCAAACAACGAGCTGTGTTTTTCTTTTGAGCGACTTTATAAAACGTACTGATAAAAAAAGTCAGCAGAGACACATAGAGAGAGAGAAACACCGGTGTGTGTGTGTGTGTGTGTGTGTGTGTGTGTGTGTGTGTGTGGAAAAGAGACGGGAAAAGCAAGGTATATGTTGAAGTACACAGGTTATTGTTTTGTTTTTTTCACCATGGTATCAAACTGGTATCAAGAAATCGTGAAATTTCACCAGCAGATAAATTAATTTAACTTGGAGACTCGAAACATTCTGAAGTAGCTTTAGTCATTTTAAGTAAGTTTTATTTGTACTGTGAAAATAAAACACCTAGTCAAAAGTAATCAATCAGGAATGTTTTTGTCTCTTACAGAACAAAGTTAGTATCACTTAAAATTACCAGTAAAAGCTGCTTCATCAGGAAGAAAAAATTTGATTTTGTGTGACTTAAAGTTTTGATGTTTGGATTTAAATGAACGTATCTGGTTTTACAGTGTGAAAGGTGGAGACAGAGACTTTACAGATCTTATAATACGTCCACAACCTGTATGTGTGCAGCACCATATTTCTTCCCCTGCTGCTCCAGAGTCAGTTACATTAAAACACCAGTTTGATACCTCGCAAAAAATGTAAAATATCACCGCAAATCACAGAGATGCTGATTCACACCAGATTCAAATCTCAGACGACCTCTGCAGTTATTACACATTACTAAAGGCCCCCTGTTAATACTAGTCCCCTGCGAATAGGGCTTAAGGATGTTAAATATCTCGCTAACTCATATAAATGGTGACACAGGTATGCTGACGACCTGATGACCTCTGACCTCTTCAAATAACTCACAGTAGTGAGTGTGATAGCTGTCCTGAGTAATGAATCGAATGGCACAGTATGAACGACGTCCAGTGGTTTAATTGTAGCAGCAGGAGCCTAAAGAGTTTCTCCATAACGCAGTGGCTTGTATGATGGTTTGTCTGTTTCTAAAGGACAAACGGGCTCAATTCTGGTTAGAAATCCAACCAAAGCATTTATAATATATTATAGTTATATACACGACACTGGAGTGGAACATCAAAGCCTTCATAATTTGCCGTTTTGGAGGCTAGAAAAAAGCCTTAAATTATGATTAGAGGTCTGGAGATCGACAAACACACACTTGACGATTGTGTTTTATTGTTCATTAGTCGATCAACTGAAAATTAACTAACATCAGTTTGGATTTTTCTTTTAATTTCCGCCATAAAACTCAAAAAATTCTCTGGTTCCATCTTGGTTGCTTTCGTTGGGGCCCGGTGGATTCTTGTAACTCTCATTAGGAACAGTAGGAGGCGCCAGAGGAACCTGATTTCTTCACAGATTATCTGTCTCATCAACGACTGTCTGGATATAGTGAAAGTTTCAGCAAATATGCTCCATGGAAGGGCGTCTGTAGTTAAAAACGTTTCATTCTAAGGTCACAAAACACAACCATTCTTATATTCAGGTGATTATATAAAAACTAATAAAAACATACCTATTAATGTTATATTCAATTTCTAAAACTAGATCCTCCTCAGTGTAACGTAAGGGTAACGGTAACGGTTACGATACTCCACATGGAAATAATCATTAGCTGCACACTGTGTCTACCATACCTGTGTCTGGTGCATTTGAACCAGTTGAGGATGTCGGTGCAGCGGGTGTAGTAGACCTGGTCGAATGGATGAGCGTAAGACTCCTGCACGGTCACTGCATAGCTGGAGGGACAGAAGATACAACCACACACTCAAATAAATATACTCTCAAGGCTTTGGTGCAATCTGAAATCTCAGAATGACATTGAGGCGGAGTAGGACACACTATTTCTAAAAGCTAAAAGATAACAGAGGGAAGTTCTTCCTCTCCTGATGTTTCCTCTTAAAAACAAGTATTGATCCCAGGAGAGAGCCAGGACAGCGTGTCCTCATGGTCCTACTCTTTAAATCTGACAAATGTTTAAAAGCCATCGATTTTCACAAATTTTAAACACTTTATTTTATTTTCCTGAAAACTTCCTGAAAGTATCCTGACATAACTTTTTATTTTATTTGTATACTTTCTGTTGTTGTAGCTGATTTTTTCCGCCCGTATCGATACACACTGACAATGAGAGCTGGTTCTCTTCTTCTCTTGTGTGGAATAAAGGTTACTGAACTGAGTCTAACCTTTAGCAAGAAGTGAAAACTGTAACAGTCGTCAGAGGTAATATCCATTTCCACAATTCCTACTGATTACGCTGAGAGATTATCGATCAGAGCACCTGCACTCTGTGTTGCTCTCATCAGAAATGACATTGTGCTTTTTACCCAGCGTAGCACTGAGTGGTGGGACCACTCAAGCAGTCACATTACCATCGCTCTGAATTTACGGCCCCGGTATGTCCCCAGGAGTAAACCTTTTCCCTTCTGCTTTTGATTATTGGCAATCCCTCAGTCTTGATTTGTGGCGGGGAGTCCATTAGTTCACTGCAGCGTTTGGAGCGGTGTTATTTCACTTTGAATATTAGCGGCTGAATTGAAGGAAAACTGACCTCTCCCAGTGGCTGCACACGTTGGGGTCATCCGGGTTGAGGGGCGACGCCAGAGAGATCAAGCTGAACAGGTTGAGCCACAGCAGGGCTTGGGGGGAAACCCCACCGGCCCCCATTGTCCTCTATCCTCCGTCCTTGGGAGAGCAGAGAGACACAGTGAGGAACACGATTTCACCTTTAAAAAGCTGCAGTTTTATGTGCATATATCAGAGATACAAGGACTAATATCTCTAAACCAACTAAAATCTGCTAAATAAGAACAAACAGTGGCATCAAGGCTTGAGGAGAAACAGGCAGACATTTGTTTGCAATCTTCAAAACAACATGACTCAACAGTGCGTCGGTGCTTCTCTTCCTTTTTATAAATGACTGCAGCTGACCCTCATTGTACTGACGGCCAGCGGTGGAAAGAAACTACATTTATTCAAGTGCTGTACTTAAATAGAGTTTTGAGCTACTTCACTCCATCACATTTCCGGGGTAAATATTGTACTTTCAACAGGGTTACAATTACCTGACAGATAGTTCTTCTTAAAGGATATGTGTGTGTGTGTGTGTGTGTGTGTGTGTGTGTGTGTGTGTGTAGGATAGGGTTGGGCGATTTGGACGAATATAATCGGCCATTGCTGGTTGTTTTTTGGCCCGTTTTTTGCCGATGTTTGTCATTTTATTTTGCTAATTTAATTGCCTGCCCATGATGAATGAGAGCTGCTGTTCAGTAGTGTAGCACACACACTGAGCAGAAGATGAGTAAGAGGAAAAGCAGCTGTAGAGGCAGAGTATTTTTACAACTGGGTTTATGTCGACTCGTTTGATGACAGGGAATACAGTTACAGTGTGATTCGCAGAGGCTCCAACCAGGACTCTGACTCCAGGGAAGATGGAGACACAGCAGGGACAGACCAGGAAAGGAGAGGCACTGAGCAGGTAGAGACGCGAGGGAGGTCGGGGGCATCAGACGCAGAGACAGCGAGTAGAGCCAAAATATTTTCATAACTATTGATTGTTAAACAGCAGAGTTGGTGATTGTGTAAACACTAATAAAGACGGTTTGTTGAGTTTGATTTTGTTTTTGTCAAGTTTTAATGAATTGTGTTTAAAGATCATAACAAGGTCTAAGTTTGGAGACTTTAATTCAGAAGGTGAACGGTTGTATTTTTTCTGTTTAATGAGTAAAACAGGTGTTTTTCTTTGGTAAGTTTATTTTCTTTATTAAAGTTATTAGAGATTGTTGCATGTATGGAGCTCGCCGTTCATCTCCCAGCGGAAACTCCTGGGATGGTGACTGTGGGGGGGGGATCAGGGGGCAACACACACAAACATGCATGAATATATCGGCATTCAGCCATTGTTGGAGTAGGATTTAGTGACATCTAGCGGTGAAATTGCAGATAATAACCCCCTCATTTCACCTTATTCCAAGTGTGTAGTAGAAACTACGGTTGTCATGAAAGTCGTGAAAAATGGTTCAACACATAGAAAAGGACCCGCTCCCTCTTTAGATAAAAACAGCTCATTCTAAGGTACTAAAAACACAACGTTTCTTATTTTAGGTGATTATAAATAATGAAAACTCAACATCAATATTTTATTATATATATATACATATTTAATAAACTGGACCTTTAAATGTGGTTACCCCTTTAAATTTCACAACAAAAACAGCAAATATTAGAGGAAACTCCTCTTGTGACCCTATATCCCTATACACTGTAGTAATAGGGGTATTTTTAAGTAGTTGTAAGTACTTCTCTCACCCTCGCTCGCTGGCTGTATTTGTCTGTACCAGCGTGGTGCTCATTATATAGCAGCAGTGGCAGGGAAACTTCAAAGGGGAGTGGGTAAGAAGCAGTAGGTATGATGGTGAATCTCCGTCAGCTCAGAATCAAACAGCGGCAGGTGGTGGAGACGCTGCAGTAAACTTGAGTTTAATCTGTTCGCAGCTTTTAAGTGTTTACAGAGACAGTACAGTACTTTACATTTGGATTCAGACACTTCACATACATACATATATATATATATATATATATATATTTGTATATAGTATGAGAGCCCGCCTTCTCTGTTTTAACTGGCCTATCAATCTGCAACTTCATTTCTAGATGCCAGACTCCACCCACTCTCAATCCAAAGTGTGGTTCTTTAGAGGAATGCTTCCTTTCTTGTTTGTTTATGTTGGCCATATGGAGCAATGGTTCGCAACCAGGGGGTCGGGACCCCCACTACGGGGTCGCCAAAGCTTCAAAAGGGGGCCTGTATCGTATTTTTATTATTTCTGTGAAAAAAAACTAAATAACATTTTTAAAGTTTAGATTATTTTTTAATATCTTAACTTGGAAGAGCTGAACACAAGATATATTCAAGCCTATTTAGTCTGTATGATTGTTAAAAAATAAAAACATTACCTAAAATAGAGAACTGTGTAAAAAGTTCTGAAAATATCAGTAAAACAAGTAAGTAATTAATACTCACAGAAAATAATCTGCTCAAATTCATCCAAATCTCTGGTTTTATATAAACTTCCTGCAGTTACTGAGTTCACTGTTTGGGTTCATTGTACAGGTTATCAGCTGTTTTCTGCTGTTATTGTTACACATTGAATATAATATGAAATATACTTAAAATATGTCACTTAATCATCAGTTTACTCAATAAGTGAAAAGGGGAAGAATAGTTATCAGTATTAAATTGAATCTGTTTCATAACCAGTTAAAAGCTCCAGCAGCAGCACAGGAAAAGACTCCACAAAGGACTCAAACTCTGAAAGAACAGGTGATGTCTTTAACAGCATCTCCTTTCTTTTAAAATCCTTTTTGACAAATAAACTAAAATTACTTGTCTAACAATCAAAAGCTTGCATGAAAACAAAAAATTTTAGAGGAGTGAATGTGGGCTTCTCTCTTGGAGAAAGAAAAAGAAAAATGTCTGGCATGTGGAAAATTTGTAAAAATGTTCAATAGATGGTCAGTTTGTGGAGTGGGTGTAAACCAGTATGAAAGGGAAAAAAATGTAATTACTGTAATTCACAAGAGTGGTGCAGAGTGGACTGTTCACTGAGACTAATGAGATAAAACTGATGCAAGCAGCAATTTCCAAAACAGCCTCAGCAATGTCACTGTCGTAACACAAAAAGCAACAGGGAAAGCAATGCAACTGGGGTGTAAATATGGAGATTTTTTATGAAAATGTGAGCGATACAACATCCGATTCACGAGGCGATGAAACTTTTGCTTGGGGGGGAATCCACTGTTATTTTCCGTGGTGCACAGGGAGGGTGGCTGAATGCACGTCAGGAGAAAAGAGCGCTGTTGAAAAGTTGAAATCTCCTGTACTTTATGCAAATAAAATAGCAGGGCACACATGCACTGCTGAGAATGCCAATCAGTAAACGCCGCTCTGCAAGAAACATCTCAATGTGGGGTTGTGAGCCTGACACAACCAATCTTGTTTCCAAAGAAATCACTCACTGGTTTACATAAAGGTTAGCTACAACAGTAAAGGCAGCAGCAGGGAAACATCAGTCTTTTCTCAAATGGGGGGGGAAAAAACTGCTGAATCTCTAACAAATTTAAGGTAGCGCCGATGTTTAGCCTAACAGATGTGATTCCTACACGCATGGCCTCCTTTATGGCTATGATGGGGAGGAATTTAAGGCAACACAGATGGAAATTTCGGACAAAATTATTACCAAAACCTTTTTTTTCTCCTCCACGTCAGTCTGAATTCCAAACAGCCTGAAAGGATGAATATGTCCATTGAGGCACCCACATCTTCAAACTGTTTGCACAATGAATGTTTCCTGGGAGTGTTGTTGACGGCAGCTGTGGGCATGACAGTGACATAAGACTCCACAGCAGACCGATTCCTCATGCCATCGGGGGCCATTTCAGCGGCACACACACTGACAGGCCGGGAAAATCATGGCGATGATGAATAAACCCCTGAGTGACAGAGGTGGTACGAGCCAAATTCTCCCACCCACACTGTCCCGTAGCGGAATGACATTATGATGTTCATTTGTGGACAACTGGCGGAGTGTTCTCATTATGTGTAATATGAGCGAGGCCATGAGGAGACACTGAGAAGTCAGACAAGCTGGATGTGTTTTTTTGTTTTTCTTACAGGTGTCTGCTATGTGGAGACAGGCTGCAGACAGGTATAATTAAGGTGAAGCAGCGAATCTGCCTCCGCAAGATGAATCGACAGCGACGATGACGTAAACATTGCTGTGATAATTATAATAATTATATATTCAGGCGAGAGAGAGACGGACGCATGTGTGCTGGGTCAAGTTTGGGTCAAGGATAAAAAAAATAAAAACTAATTCCACGTGTAATATTGGTAATTTATGAAGATTTTTTTGGCAATTTATTTATTTGATTTTTCCAGAACTTGGATAGACAAAAAGAGAATTTTAAAATGAGGCTTTACTCCAGCAAGCTGGTTTAACTACTGATATACAGATACTCAGATGTGATAACTCAAATTAAAACAGGAAGCTATTAAAATATATGAATGACAATAATAGAGAATATTATGTGGGTGGGAAAGAAGCCTTTGTTTTTAACAGCTATGCCATCTCAAAACTCTGAACTATACTAAATAATACTGACACATTAATACAATCAATGATTTAAAAGCAGCCAAACCTCCAATACGCATTAAAACAACAGGAACTAACTCAGGTTGTTCAAATGGTGTGACTACATACTAACAGTGAGGATAGCCATCAAACTGTACAAACACTCCCAGGTTGTAAAGACAAAGTTTACCATAAGGTACCCTAACATGTCACTGAATGCACAGAAATTAAATCTCACTCTGGAGAAGAAGAAGCATGAACACTGTCCAAAATACTAAAGGGGTTTCTTTAGGAATAGAGTCTAAGTTTAAGTAAATATGTCTACATTGTGTATGCAAGGCTCAAATTTCCAGCAATAAATATTAGATTTAATTTCAACCGAGGGAGCAATTCAAAGCTAATATAAGTCAGGAACCAACAAATAATCACCTGGAGACAGAAAAAGCAGCTTACCTCGAGCAAAAGTGAGCGTGCTGAATGATAATCTGTGGTGAAACTGAACTTTATCACAAGAAAAAGACCCCCAGTGGATGACGATGGCGGGACTGGACCTCAGGATACCTGTGTTCAAGACACAGAAGAATACACTCAGAACAGATATATAGTATCATTATGTTCATGTCTTTAAGGGATTCAGATAAAGATTATGTTTTTTGAAAAGATCACAAAATGACCACAGTGTGCCTGCAGGGGTTGACACTTATTGATCAGTATTTCCTAGCAATTTCATGAAATCATTATTCTCTCTCTCGCCGTTATCTAATGAGTAAGATGGTGCAAATTTTCACCCCACATAAAGTAGTTTTCCCCCAGATGTTGCACTTCCAACAACGTCTTAATCATCACCTTCTAGTTAGATGCACCTGAGGACACCAAAACTGCAGAGAACTCACTTCCTCAAATTAATTCAGTTTCAGCACATACAGGTAGAAGCTTCCATCTGATACTCCTCAGGATTACACCGAGAGATAATTCAGAACCATCAAACATTCAGTCAGCAGTGGTTTTACCTGCGCTCTGCCATATTTTATCACTGCAGTCCATGAAAAGTAACTTCACAGTGTGTGTGTGTGTGTGTGTGTGTGTGTGTGTGTGTGTGTGTGTGTGTGTGTGTGTGACTGTACATTTCCGTTTTTGTGTGCAAGTGTAGGCTTTGTGTTCATTGGTTGCTGTTTCTCATAAGCAGCAACTCACAGGGACAGAAAATCAATAAAAACACTGTTATTGTTAGTCAAACAATATTTCCCTGGCCCTGATGAATGTCTCAACGTCAGGGTTTTGCAGTGCAGAACTGTCAGACAGTGAGCTTAGACAGAGCAGCCAGGACGCGGTGCAGACACTGGTATTATGGGTTTACAGGGGAAGAGGATATGATGTAGTTCAGTGTAGAGCACTGGTGAAAAAGACCCTTAAGCTAAAGTAACCCTATTAAAATGAACAGTCGGGAAACAATCAGATCTGTGGTTTCAGATTGCACGAAGAAATACCCAGAAAAGGTTCCTTAGATACAGTGTAGTTTAGATATTCTGCTACTTAATGTCAATCAAACTGGATTTACTGGTTAAAAACCATTACAAATTTAATCTCAGATGCTTTTTGTTAATTTATACTACATAATATAGTTACCATTTTATATTTTTTTGTATCTTAATCTAAAGTAAACCTACTAAAATAAGCAGTCAGGAAACAATCAGATCTGTGGTTTCAGATTGGATTAAGAAATAGAGAATATTTACATGATGTATGAATATTAAAAAGTTTAGTATCTGCTGTTTAATGGGAATCAAACTGGATCAACTGGTTAAAAAAAAAAAAAAGATCTCAAATTTTGTTAACATATATAATCTATGTATTTACTAATCCGTTTTGTCATATGATGTTGGACACATCCTCACAGCAATGCATTAGACAAACAGGACCTGTTTCCAGAAAGCTCCAATGTTATATACATTTATGGATATATCCAGATCTGTATGTCATGTCATAGCATATTATATCTATTCCCTTAAATTACATTTATCTTTTTTCTGTTCTTCTCTAGGAAGGAACAGAAAATGTGCCACTGTTGGTGATGAACATTATATACAGAATATGAATCCATCCAAATGTCGCACACATTTTACAATTTTTAAACTAATTCCCAAAAAATAAAGCTGGTAAAATAAAATGCTAATCTGTGAGCTTTTCTGCTAACTACCAGTGTGCAAATATTTGAAAGAGGGCGCAAAACTCCTCTGTAACTCTCCTCTGTAAACTTCATTATGGCACTGCATTGCTGCTTCCCACCTAATGAGGTATTTATGGGTCTTTTATTAATTTTTTTTTTCTCTGCACATACCTTAGTGTTTTCATCTGCTGCCATATCCTTTGGTCTATTTTGATCTGTAAAGGTGGGTGGCAGAAATATGCTGATGTCTATAATGTCAGAAACCCTAAAAAAAGAAGATCATATCATATATTCTCTCTGTAAATACATAGAGAGAGTGTCCATAATCACTCTCTTGTTCACTTCAATCAGTACTCCCTATATAGACACTCAGTAGTCTTTAGAGCCTCTCTAGCATTCAACCGAGATACTTTGAGAGGATTGTCATTTTGGATCATCAGTGACGAGTCTTAATCAATAAAATGTGTCACACTGTATTGTGTTTTTTCGTTTCATTGTGGGAATATGTCAGAGCTATAAATTTAGGGCAGAAATCTCACAGTCAGAATCTGGACACTCACATAAAATGGCGGAGGCTGAATGTAATGCCCTGTATAGTAAGTAGTGTGAGATTTAGGGCACAGCCATAATTTTACACTTCAGCGAATAAAAACAAAACCTTCCATTCAAAGTATTTTGGGGGGCATTTTTGCCTTCATTCAAAGGTAAACACTTGGTAAAGAAGCGACAGGAAATGAGGAAAGAGAGAGTCTTCAGCTGGAAACACAGTAAACAGTATGTATCTAGGTCACCATGATGCCTTAGCTAATCTATAGTGTTTCCATTAATGTCTATTTCATGCACAAATTCAAAAAACATATGAAGCAGGTGGACAGAAGTCTATTAACTGTAGTCTTGATGTGGGTCCATCCCAAAAACCCAAATGTCAACCCCAATATAAAGTCCTCTCAGACTGGAACAACCATGACACTTTCCCTGCAGGTCATTGTAGATGTTACTGTAGATCAGGGGCCAGAAGTCCATCGATAAACCAGGTTTTACATAGTATTACAGGGACTGTGGAAACACAGGACTATATATTTCTCTTTGTTTTATTTTAATTTAATTTATGTACTCATTTGGCCAAACAAAAGACAAACTAGGACTGTCACTGTTTATTTGAAAATTTGGTGTTTGAATTAAAAATGTACAGTCTATCGCAGCTCGTAAAATCTTACAGATAAGATAGCAAGAAATATGTGAAGAGTGAAATGTCTTATCCTTTACAGTATGTTTTCCTGTATGGTTTCATATATTTTTTTAAATACATACAACAGAAGCGTCATACTAGCTTATTTCTAACACCACCTACAGGGAGAACAGATCAACAGAAGATACAATACATGTAGCTATGGTTCTTCATACTTCGTTGGAGCACCTATAGCATAAAAATGCATATGTAATAATGCTCTTCTCTGGTTATAGTTCGGCTTCAAACACAATCCTGACCAACAAACTCATTACCATTAATTATGCAACTGGTATTGGACTGTCAGACTCGGCAAGCACGTATCATCCACTCTATCTCTAAGCACCGGTGCTCCACAGGGATGCGTGCTTAGTCCACTACTTTTCACGCTATCTGCTTCCCGTCCTATCCTTCTAACTACAGTATCAAATTTGCAGACGATACTATAGTGCTCATCTCAAACAACAAAGAGTCTGCGTATAGAACTAGAAGTACAAACACTGGCAGTCACAACCTCTGAACAGTTAGGAGACAAAAGAGATTGTCGTAGACTAGGCAGGACATTACAACCACACCTTACGCTGTATTAAAAGGGTGAGGCAGTAGAGAAGTTCCTGGGCCTGACAGTGATTGAGGAACTGTCCTGGAGCACCAATAGAGCCTCAGTGAGTGGGAAAGCTCAACAGCATCTCTTCTACTTGAGAAAACTAAAGAAAGCAAACCTACCGCGGAAGCTCCTGCTGAGTTTTTACTACTCATGCCATTGAAAGTGTGCTGAGATTTTAATTCAAGGTCATATTCTTTGGGATTTACATAATCCTTGTATTTATATTGTTATGTACAGTAAATGTATGAAAAATAATATAAAAGTAAAGACTTAAACTTTCATTTGAGGGCCAAATACCTATGTTGGAGGGATGTGGTCCTTGAGCAACTATTTGCCAATTACTGCTGTATTTTGTTAAACTGCATTATGTCTGAAGAACTCCATATTTTCTTTTTACTGCCTTTCGGTGTCTGTGAGGTGTATTTTTGCTAATTGCTGTCTATCAAGGTCTGCTGTCAGTGTGGTTATTTAGATGGTCACCTGTAAAAAACACCCTAATAATGACGATAATGATGAAGCCTGATGTGCTCCTGTGGAACACTGACATCAGAAATAGTTTTTTTAGTTTTTTCCAGTTTTTTGCCTCTGAACAATTATTTCTGTTAACTTTACAGACAGTTTCTTAAACTTCATGGAGTTTCTGCTCTGATCTGCACGGTTATCTGAAATTGATGTCCAGTCAGCTGAGTTGGCCACAAGTGAACCTAAAACTTGTCTTTCAAATGAAACAACAACTTCTCCTCAATTTGATTTGGAATGTTTTTTCAATAGTGTTGAAATATTGAATAAAAATATGTCTGCTTTTGGCTTTTTATTGATTTTTAATTCTCCGTTATTATAAAATTCTACAGGGACCTTGTTCTGTTATTTTGTAGATCAGTGACAGAACACCTCGATGTAAATGCCAGAAAAATCAAGGGGTTCTGAAAGTGCCGTTTACGTGCTTTAGTGAAGCATGAAATACGAACACAAAACCAGGTATTTGCTGGAAATAATGATGAAAAACACTCTCTCACTGCAGCCAGAGAGGAGAAAATACACATAAATGCAACAGTTTGGGTTTAATTTACTTGACTCAATGCAGTCTAAGAAATACATCTTTCTCTGTAACAACTTACTCATTGCATGGCACAATGGATTTATCTATCCCATGGCCTGCTTCCTGTAATGAATGCTTAGCAAAGGTCATCATCCCCCACAGTTTAATTAATGATGTCGATCCCAGGTTTTCCCCACAACAAGTTGATTCACATCCACAGCCAGGGCAGAAATGTGTGCACATGCTCTGGATTTTGAGCGACCAAAGACTCTGCAACCATATAGACCTTTAATATGTGACTCAAAGCTTCATTGACCAGTGTGGTCCCCTGTGGCCAATACTCAGCTCCACCGTGATTGAGAGTTACAGTTTGCTGACAGTAGAAAGAGACCAGTCGATCTCCTCAGTGGTCTCCCAGGGCTCTTTGGTAATCTAAACTCTAAAATGATGGCAAAGCAGCGCTCAGTTTACAGATGAAATGAGCGTGCTTAAAGGGCTACTCCTGTCAAACAAGTGCAAC